AGAGCCTGGCTTTCTGGCTCAGCTTGGAGTCTCATGTTGTGAACTGTTGATGTCTGTTGCATATAAGTTTGAGGGTTTTTTTTTTTTTTTGCAGAGCAAAGCTGCCCTCCCGGTGGAGGGTAACTATGAAATGCCTGTTTTTTCCCCTCCACCTGAACCAATCCTCATGTAACCCTCTTATCTCTATTAAGGTAGTGCGACTCAGGGTTGTAAATGGCCACAGTCACCAATTCTTGCTATGTGTCTTGCCCATGTATTTCTGATCTCTGAACTGTGTGTGCTGAAACTCTAATTTCCCTCTGTGATTAATAAAGCATCTTTAATTTGATTTGATTCCTTTTGTAGAAAAAGCAGACCATTATTTAGAGTATAACAAAACAGACCTTACTTCTCTCTGTGATGTTCAGAGCCTGAGATATAGGCCACAAAGCTGTAATCAGAAATCGGCCTTTAAGTAACACTTGGCCCGGTGACATTTGGACACTGATTTGACCCTGTTAGCAAGGTGCTAACATCACGAAACTTGGTATGCATTTACATGTTAATGGCCCCTACTTGCATGTAAGGTTTCAGGATGATTGTGCTTTCTGTCTCTGAACTGGACTCAGAAAAATGTCAAAGATGTGTGTCTGAACACATAATTCTGGGTGCCATTTAAAAACCATACAAGGTAATGACTCCATTCCTTTTGTGGATGATAGAGGCTATGGTTTAAAGTCTAACAAAACAGACTGACCTCTCTCTGATGTTCATAGCCTGAGATATAGGCCCACAAAGGTGTAATCTGAAATTGGCCTTTAAGTAACACATGGCCCGGTGACATTTGTGACCTCACTTGACCCAGTGAGTCGTGGAGGATGGCTGCTTATACTGAGCCGGGATTCTCTGGAGATTTCTTCCTGTTAAAAGGGAGTTTTCCTCTCCACTGTCGCTTTATGCTTGCTTAGTATGAGGATTGCTGTATAGTCACAGACACTAGTCAGTGACTTGATGCAATTTGCTGGGTTCCTTATATATGAAACATTATTTCTGATTGGCTTAATGAACTGACCTGAAATGGAATGTTTATTATGTGAAGTGCCTTGAGACAACTCTTGTCGTGATTTGGCGCTATATAAATAAACTTGAATTGAATTGAACTTGACCATCTTAGCAAGGTGTTATCAGGCTGAAAGTAGGTATGCACGTATATCTTATTGGACCCTACCTTCCTGTACAATTTCAGCCTGATTGGACCTTGTATCACAGAGCTGGACCCAAAATAAAGTGAAATTTGGCTATACAACCACTTTAGTACAGCTGCCACTTAAAAGCTATACATCCTTATGACTCCATTCCTTTTGTATATTTGGAGTATAACAAAACATACCTGACCTCTCTAGGATGTTCAGAGCTTGAGTTATAAGCCCACAAATGTTTAACATTAAATAGCCCTTAAAGTACCACTTTGCCCGGTGATCTCTGGGACCTAACTTGACCTCCTTAAAAAGGTGATATCAAGCTGAAACTTGGTATGCATTTACAACTCATCAGCCCCTAATTCCCTGTAAAATTCCAGACCATTCATTCCCGCCCTGAACTGAACCCAGAATAATAGTAAAAGTATGCATCGGAAGACATAATTGTGGGTGTCATTTTAAAACCATACATGGTAATGACTCGATTCCATTTGTATAAATTGCAGACCATTATTTGGAGTATAACAAAACATACCTGACCTATCTAGGATGTTCAGAGCCTGAGCTATAAGCCCCTAAAGGTGTAATCTGAAATTGGCCTTTAAGTAACACATGGCCTGGTGACCTTTGTGACCTGATTTCACCACCTTTTAAATGGGGCTATCATCATGAAGGTTGGTATGCATTTATAACTCATTGGTCTCTACTTTCATGTAAAAGTTCTGACTTATCAGACATTCTGGCCCTGAACTGGACCAAGAATAATAGTAAAATCGTGGTTCGGACAAAATAATTCTGAGTGCCATTTACGAACCAAACATTCGTTCGACTCCATTCCTTTTTTTAGAGGATACAAACCATTACGTAGATTATAACAAAACAGACCTGACCTCGCTAGGATGTTCAGAGGCTGAGTTATAAGTCCCTAAAGCTGTAATCTGAAATCTGCCTTTAAGTACACCTTTGCCCGGTGACCTTTGTGACCTGATTTCACCACCTTAGGAATGGGCTATCAGGCTGAAAGTTGGTGTGCACTTACATGTTATTGGCCCCTACTTTCATGTAAATTTCATGTAGACTGATTGGACCTTCTACCTCTGAACTGAACCTAACAAATATATTTAAAATATCAGAAAATTGAAAATATAAATAATTTTTTTTATTTCAGAGTAATGCAAATTTTTTCTCCTTTTTTTAACTTTAAGAAATGCTATTTCTATCTCTCTAAATTGAATAGAAAATGGGGTCCTTAGAAGGTAGGTATTTTACTGGAGTCCGAAGAAGGTAACAAATACAAGAATGTGTGTGTGTGTGTGTGTGTGTGTGTGTGTGTGTGTGTGTGTGTGTGTGTGTGTGTGTGTGTGTGTGTGTGGGTGTGTGGGTGTGTATGTGTCTTTATGCTCCCCACATTTCCTGATAAATGGCTCTCCTGGAAATCCACTCAGCCTAAATGACTCTGCTCCCCCCTAAGTCGTCCAGAGCCTGAATCACAGGCGACTTGGTGCTCCGCTAATATATTAACACCAGGGTGAGTTAGGCCTTCTCTGGCATGTTTACTAACATTGAAAGGTAGCTCTCTGTTTTAAAGTTCCAGTTACAAACAGATGGTGGGGTAACGAGGCTCGTCGGTGAGATGGGAACATGACAGGATGATGTCAGACATTGTAGCTTTTTTAAGCACAAGTACAGGTCCCTGTTTTTACCTTAAAAACTTAAACCTATGAATACGTCGATGTGAAAGGTGGAGGGTCAATGGTCAATAAATACATTTACTCAAATCCGTTTTAAAGTTCTCTCATTTTTTAAACACATGTAGTGGTCTGTGGTATAAATGAATGCCTTGTGAATGGATCTTTGTGTGGAAAAAGCTCTGGCATTCCTGTTTCTGGTGCTATAAGTGAACCAGAGCAGAAGACAGCATTTTTCCTGATAGTTGGACATCTTGTCTCTGATTGTCTAACAGCAGCGCAGCTCTACCATTTACTCTGTTTGCTCTGCAACGTTGATGTTTAATCTCCACAAATAACACAAGCCTGGAGGATGTCTGCTGTGTGGTGGAGTTGCTAATGCTAACAGTTTGCTTCTACTTCTACTTGCATTCTCCTGGACGCTTAACAAAAACCAGCCTTCCCCATCATGAGTCGAGATGGGTGAGTCCATGAATGTTAATTTTCAGTGTGACGTGGATCTGACAGGATTTTCTAATCTGTGAGTTTCCACGTTTGTTTTCTATCAGTGGCTAATAGGAGTAGGGTATTTTCACGGTTTATCTGCTGTTAAACTCAGAGTGGCCGATCGTATTTTCCAAAATAACAAAAAAAAAAAACTTTTCTCAGTGAACTTAGTCTTTAAACTAATTTTAACTATGAGGTTTTGAAATAATTTCTTCTCTCTGATGCAGGATTTTTTACTTAGGATTTTTTCATTCATTTAATTTAGTTTCCATCTATTTTGAGTCAACTAAATAAAACTGTTATTTATTTAATAAAATGTGTTTCCTGGTTCAACGATTGTAAAGGAAATCGCAACTACACCTGATTGAAATTGTAATGTAATACAGAAAGTACACATTTATTTTTACAAAACTTGACAGTTAACTCTACAAAGTGGGGAAAAGTGCCAAAAGGAACCCTAAACAAAAAAAAAAATTACGTATTTGTATAACAATTTTATGATTTTTGCCCCAGATCATTTAAAGAAATGCAAACATTTTGAATATTTGCGGCTTCTTTTTTTTAATTGGCATGGAGGTTAAAGAGTTGAATGACAAAGCAGCAGCAAATCTGCCCAAACTGAATTAATTAAACTTCCTACATTTATGTTTTTGAAACATATTTCTGATAAATTAGAGATGAAGCTGTGAAGATGTAGAAATTAGGTTCTGTCCGTTAGTGAGTCTACCTTACAAATCGAGTGTGTGTGTGTGTGTGTGTGTGTGCGCGCGCGAGTGCGTGTGTGTGTGTGTGTGTGTGTGTGTGTGTGTGTGTGTGTGTGTTGCTTTGAACAGCTTGCCAGGAGCAACAGGAAAGCCTCTGAAAGCCATAACATTCAGGCGAGCAGCAGGCTAATGAATAGGATTCACCCCCGGCCACAGGCAAAGTTAATAAACTCCCGCTATCTGGGATAATTAACGCCAGGCTGTCTCCTGGCTGGACAAAACTGTCTTCTCCCCATTCTAACTCCCCCAACACACCTCCTTTCTCTTTCTGCATCTTCGTCATTCACTCCATTAGCTTTCTGGCGAGCCAGAGGTGAGTTTTAGGGAAATTGAACAACTCCAGAGAAGGACGAGCGGGATTGTTGTGGGCCAGACAATCAGAAGCAACACAAAAGGCTTTGGGTCAAAGATAAATTTGGGTAAATTGGGAGGCTTACACTTGAGGGGATCTTCTCTTCTCTTCCTCTGCTACTGATTATTTCTGTTTCCAGAAAATAATGAGCTGCTGTCCCTCCGTAACGGTGCGGGCTGATGCGCTGAACTGCTCGGCCCTGCAGGAACTCTGCATGCTCTCAGAGGCAGATTGTTTCTAAAAAGACCTGACCAGTACAACACTGCACCTCTCTGGCTAAATCAACATTTAATTGGTCTCATACGTTCTTCTCCCAGTTTGGGTCCCGGCAGTGCAGTACAGACAGAGCGGGTTGCAGGGACTATAATTTACAAATCGCATGCTTCTTCTTTCTGCCTGCTGAGCTTTGTCTCGTTTTTAAAACTCTAATGGACCCGAGCTGAACAATAATTCTTAATGAAGTGTTCAGGCAGGAACAGAATCCAGCTGAGTCCTTACACGGCACATCCTTGTCTCTGATCTCCTTTCCCAGTACACCTCGGCGCTGACGTACGACGGCGTGATGGTGATGGCAGAGGCCTTCAGGAACCTACGCAGACAGAAGGTGGACCTCTCCAGACGAGGCAATGCCGGGGACTGCCTGGCGAACCCCGCTGCCCCATGGAACCAGGGCATCGACATGGAGCGTACCCTCAAACAGGCAAGAGCAATACTGGATCTGACCTTGAAACAGGAGGATGAGGTCTTGATTTCTGATTCTTGCACTCACATGAGGGTTTTTGTTCCCTTATCAAAAAACAGAAGATATTGATAAGGTTCAAGGATGTTTGCATGGTCCAGAACTTTAGCTGGTTAAGAAACACATTTATGTCATTTTGTGAAATGTTTCTTGCCACTACATGAGGACATTTTTACCTGTCCTTTCATGGGATCCAAATTATGACTGTGTTTTAAAACATCCAGTTCAGGAGAGCTGAGTTGAAAGGTGACCCTCTGCATTTACCAGAACCCTCATCTGGGTTCTGAAAGAATGAGATTCGCTGGGTGCCTGGGCTCGCCCTTAGAGATAAGGTGAACAGCTTTGTCATCCGGGAGGAGCTCGGAGTAGACCCGCTGCTCCTACACATCAAGAGAAGCCATTTGATGTGGCGCTGGCATCTGGTCAGGATGTCTCCTAGATGCCTCTCTGGTGAGGTTTTCTAGTCATGTCCAACTGGGGGAAGACCCAGGATATGCTGGAGGGACTATGTCTCTTGGCTGGCCAGGGAACGCCTTGGGATTCCCCCGGAGGAGCTGGCCCAAGTGGCTGGGAAGAGGGAAGTCAGGGCCCTACCCCAGATAAGCGGAAGACAATGGATAGGTGAATGGGCAGTTTGGGGTTTTACCGGACTGAGTAGTCAGTTGCAAACATCACATTCTAGCAAGAGGGTGCAAGATCTCAAACAAGCTACAGAACATCTGGGGATGTGGTTCCTGCATTAATTAAAAGGGGGGGGGGGGGGGGGGTCGTCACCAGAGTTCAGACTGTGATCCAGTAGATTCTTACTTGTGGAATTCCCAAAGTGAGGAACTCTATGAATGTTGAGTAAACAAATGAATCATGGTGAAACTAAAGAGGTTTTTCTGGCAGGAAATGGCTCCAACAGGGATCTTCAGCTGGAAAAACTGTCATTTCTTCAGTTTAAGTCGACTAGAAAAAAAAACGTATTACATTTGATCCCATGCATACTTCTTTCTGGTTTCTCTTGAGCTCGATGGTGATAGCAGTTTTTCTGCTGTGTGACATCATCATGTGTGCATGCTAATTTGCGCTGTGTGTTACCTCTGCGTGCAGGTCCGGTTGCAGGGATTAACAGGTAATGTCCAGTTTGATCACTATGGCCGCAGGGTCAACTACACGATGGACGTGTTTGAACTGAAGAATAATGGACCCAGAAGGGTAAGACATGGATACTGTTAGCTAAAAAAATTAGTTCAGTTTTAAAGTTAAAAACTGTTTTGCACAGCCAGAGTCAGCTCATTACATCCCTACATAGGCCTGAAAACATGTTTTAAGCTAATGTGTTTTCCTGATTTGCTATTGCAGCTTTAACGCGCCAACTTTAGGTACACCCCATTTAAATTAGCATGCCCCAAACTGATTTAACATTGGCAATGTCTAAATGTTGTTGGCCATAATGCTAACATCAGAACAATGCTAGCTCAAGCTAGTGCAAATACTAGCCAATGCTACTGCTAATGCTAGCCCAAGCTACAGCCATCTCTAGCCAGCATTACTGCTAAAGCTAAAGGACGAGAGAAAAACAATGCAGGAGAATATTGGAGAACAAGCGTTACATTCCAGGATGTACTATGTTGTAGAGGCTTAATGAACAGTAAAAGCTCTTAAAGAACCCCTTTAGAAAACATGTATGAACACCAGCTGGTGATAATAAAAGAGTCGGAGTAAGACCTTACCAGCGGTTGCCCATTGGAGTCAAAAAGTCCTGGGGAGTACAAACTTTAGCAACATAACACACACATCAGATTCCCTTACATCACTGGCAACAGGTAAAGAGGTAAATGTGTAAAACAACAACGTTTATTAATGCTGAAAGTTTTGTAACCATTTCTTACAAATCAGTAAATGCATTTTGTCCTCACGGGCTCTCGTAGAAGGAAACATGGCATCTAATATGGCGTCGCCCAGAGACTTAGACCTGCTCCCATGTATTTTAGACCTGATTTTTAAGGCTATATGATATAAAGCCAACAGTATTTTTCAACAACTGGGCATCTTTTCACTCATTTTCAACAACATTTTGATGAATATTTCCAGAAATTAATGGTAAAAATACACATTGTCTATTTGAGAGGTCAAAGATTTTTAAACGATGGTTCCAAACAAACGCACAACAAGCTAGCTCATTTATCATTTTGGTAGGAAAAGAACGTGAAGCATAAATACGACCTGATGGGGTTTGGTTTAATTTACCTGTTTAGACTTTCTGAAAATAAAGATAAAAATCAGGGTTTAGTGGGAACATCATAAAAAGATTGATCAAATTATTCAACAAACTCCTAGACGTCGAAATTGACTTTCTCTTGTATCTAATTAGTTTCTATGACAGAAAGCAACAAGTGCTGTCATGTATAGATTTTTACTGTTTTTCAGCACTTAAGAGTTAACATGTATTCTCCAACGTCCTCTCCCTCGCTGCATTCCTTTCTGCACATCCTGATCGGATTGGAGATCCGTGCAGCCTGCGGTTGGATGAAGGATTTCTGGGTTTATAAGATATAATTTATGATCTGCCATTTTCTATTATCATAAGTAGGCTGTAAAGAAAAACAGCTTCAGCCTCAGACCGCATCTCCGGCTTTATGCGAAGATGGATGTGTGTTGGAGGAATTGAGGGAAAAAGAGGGAGCAGGAGAGTACTTGAGAGAGTGATGAAGGGAGGATGAAGTGAAACAGAAAGCAATCAAGGTGGTGGAGGAGGAAGCACGAGGAGAGGATTCTCCATCAATCAAAAGCTGCTTTGGCCTGTCCTTCAGCACCACAGCAAGGGCCGCGCGCGCGTGCGTGCGTGCGTGCGTGCGTGCGTGTGTGTGTGTGCAGGGTCAAAGCCTCTCTCCCACATTCTCCATGTCCCTCAATCATCTAGATGACCCGGCACCCCAGAGGTGTCCGCACTCCTCATCCTCACCACGTCTGCTCTGACTTATGGCTGTTTACAGCTGCTGTCAAACCCTGTGTACTCTGCAACATCCGTATATCAGGCTGATACAATATTGCTGTGCCGATATTGGCTTTTTACTATTAAATCAGGTGTCGCCCAACCTGTTCTACACACATCCATCCATCCGACTCCAGATGCTAAAATCGTGGCCCCATCCCGACCTGGGCTAGCTCCACTCTGACCTCGAAGTACTCCTGCAGGTTAACTCAAACAAGTTTGAGGGCAAAAATGGGCATTTGCTGGAATTCGGGTAACTGTATTTCCACATTCTGTGCTTCGGTGATGGCAGTCAATTTTAAAATCAGTAAAGCTAAAAATTAAAGTTACAAAAATAAATACAAAATAAAAAAAATAGAGCAACTGTTTAAATATAAACCCAATAAACACTTCGTATTGCGTATTTAGGGTCTCATTCAAATACTTTAATATTTCCAGATAGAAATTTATAATAACATAATATTAAATAAAATAAAGTACAAATATAAATCCAAACCAATCCAATCCAATTTTATTTATAAAGCACATTCACAAGGCATTACAGCCAAACAAGGCGCTGTACACTAAAAATGTTAGTTAATTAAACCGGCGTTATACAAACATGTCGAACACAGATAAAAGATAAAAAGGAAATATAACAAAATTCCGAAAACTAACAGCTGAAAATCAATAAGACACAGGGAGAATAAAAAATTAGAAAAACATTTTTTTTAAAAACACCTCAAAAGTACGGAAGTCGATATTGTGAAGTCCATTTTTAAACAGTGCAGATGTAAGTGATGGTCATAATTATGTGGTATACGCTAGGTTGAAGTAGTGAGTTTTCAGGCGTGATTTAAAAATGCTAGCTGTTGGTGCTAGCCTCACTAGCAGTGGTAATGCGTTCCACAGCTTCGGTGCACAGACAGAGAACGCCCTCTCTCCACGGCTTTTTAAACATGCATTCGGAACAGCTAGGAGGAGCTTATCTTCAGACCTGAGAGCACGCGGCGGGTTGTAGTAATGGACAAGTTCACACAGGTATGGAGGAGCTTGACGGTTCAAGGATTTGTAAGTCAGAAGCATAATTTTGAAATTTATCCTGAACTGCACGGGCAACCAGTGGAGAGATTTCAGAATTGGAGAAATGTTATATATATATATATATATGTATATATATATATATATATATATATATATATATATATATATATATATATATATTATGCATATTTTAAAAATACTCATACAACATTTCTAAATGTTTGCAGGTGCTTGAAATCCTTAAAAATGCTTGAATTTTACAGCTTTTTTAGTGTTTTGAAATAGAACAATAACATTGACTTTCATAGAAAAGCAACAACTAACCTTAAAAGTGCTTAAAATGACTTAAATTTGGTGCAAGAAGCCTGGATTGTTTTTATTAACAACTTGAATAAAAAAATATATAAAAACAATAAAAAATGAGATTTCATCAAAGAAAAGTTTTTTATATGTATTTTATGGGCCTATTTCTGTGTTGAAGACTTCTTGTTCAAAATAATGCAGGATGAAAGAGCAAATTTTATTTCAGTTTATTATATTAGAGTCCTTATATGATCACACAATAAATTAAAATTGATAACATTATAACTAATTTTAGCAAAATATTGGTTTAAAATGAACTTTTCTGACTTATTTCATCCCAGATCAGTGGAGGATGATGGTCGTGGATTAAACCTGGATATATGGACACACACCTGGAGCTGGATGCCCAGCTGTATTTTATTGATAGAGATGCATGAGATTAATTATCAATCTGTCTTATAAACCAGCGATAACAAACATGTCCCTCCGCAGCTGTCGGATGGATGCCTAGCTCAGTCGTGTTGAGTTTTATGAAACTTGTTACAAAAACATCCAAGAGTTTCATAACTTAATTGGAACATTTCTCACTATGAGCAGATTTCATTACATTATGCCTGCTGTGTGTGCATGCGAGCGTGTGTGTGTGTGTGTGTGCGTGTGTGCGTCTGTGTGTGTGTGTGTGCGTGTGTGTGTGTGAGTGTGCATGCGAGCGTGTGTGTGTGTGTGTGTGTGAGTGTGTGTGTGTGTGTGTGTGTGTGAGTGTGCATATTTATATGTGTGTGTAAGTGTGCATGTGTGCTCGCATGTGTGAGCATGAGTGTATGTACGTGTTCGCATGCGTGTGAGTGTGTGTGTGTGCATGTATTCATGCATGTGAGTGTGTGTTCATGCATACAGGTGTGTGTGCATGCTAGCATGCGTGTGCGTGCATGCGAGCGTGCGTGCGTGTGTGTGTGTGTGCATGCATGTGCAGTAGCGGTTTTAGGCACGGGCAGACAGGGCAGTTGCCCGGGGCGGCATTTTTTCATGACACAAAAGGGGCGCACAAGCGCGGAGTAAAAAAAAAAAAAAAAAAGGAAATCTGCGCCGCACCGAGGTTTTCTATTATCTGTCATATGACAGTGTCTGGATTGGAAACAGCAAGTTCGCGCCCCCTGCAGCTGCAGGCGCTCCTGCTGACTGAGAACGTTCACGTGCACCGTGTGTGTATGAAGAAGAGGAAGGGGAGGGGTGCGGCGGGGGAATTCACCTCTGGGTCTTTCCCAAATGAAATGAGCGTGCAGGGGCTGAATCAACTGTATTAACATGGCTAAAGTCAATCTCATCTTGATGTTCTTCCATTTAACGCACATTTCATTCATAATATCATAAACACAGGCCTATCATTCTTTCAGGTTTCTCTGAATTGTGTGAAATGGCCGAATAAAAAAAGGAAAAACAAAACGATTTTGTGGTCACCCCCCCATCAAGGTCAAATAGTTTAGTCCTGACTAAAGGAAACTTACTGAGTCAGGAGCCAAACAGAAGAGATGAACATAAAAAGGCTAAAACCACCAGGTGCCCCATTCAGGGGGAAAAAAAGAAAAAAGAGGAGAAAGATAAAGGTATGTAGCTCTCATGATGCATGTTTTCAATGTTTTGAACCAGTTAACGGTTAAATGCGGTCAACTAATTGCTAACAGAGCTAATAGGGCTGAAATATTGAAACAAATATTCAAATGGTTCGAAAAAAGTCCTTGAATCGTTTTTTACTGATTCAAACTAGGATTTGTTAAATGCTCGCTGCAGCCTGTGGCCTGCCTGAACAACAACAAACACATGTTGATCATGTTCACGTAATAATAAATAAAACAACTGTAGCAGAAGAAAACTGCCCAGTCACCACTAACTATCCTGGTTATTTATTGCAGATGGCTGCACGGATTATTTTTTACATGATTTGTTCTGTAAAAGTTGGCATCTTTGGTAGTCTACAGTTTGTTACGTCAGTTTAAATTACAATTTCAGAGGCAATTCTAAAATATTATGGATCATGATAAAGATCTATTGGAGATCCACCCCAACTTTTGGACTGCTCTGCCAGTCACTGTGGCTCCAGCTGAGAGGAGCTTTTCAAAACTTGATCGAGTCATACCTGAGGTCACCTATGTTTCAGGGGCGGCTCACTAACCTGGCTCTGATTAGTATCAATCACTCAGTAGGGGAGCAGATTTCATATGATGACATTATTGATGACTTTGCATCAAGGTTGGGTTTTAATTTTAGTTTGTGTTTTCTATTCTAAGTGCAATGCTGTAGTGATTATCTTTAGTTTGTTATGTGTGAAATATTTTTAATACTTAGAATATTTATTATCTATTATGTTCATATATTCTTAATATGTAGTTATTGTTTGTTTTTGTATATATATATTCTGATACAGTATATAATGTATACTGCTTTACATTCTGACAACTTCATAGTAATTAATGTAAATATGTGCAACTTAGAAAAATGAATGTTCAATAGTCGTTCTAATAAAACATGCCGGTTTGTAGAAAACATGCGTGTGTTCATGCAGGTGGGGTGGTGGTGGTGGTGGTGGTGGGGGGGGGGGGGGGTTGGGGGCGCTCAAAGGGGGCCTCGCCCGGGGACTAATTCGATGTAGAACCGCCACTGTGCATGTGAGTGTGCATGAGTGTATGTACGTGTTTGCGTGTGTGTGTGTGCGCGCGCGCATGTGTTCATGCATATGAGTGTGTGTGTGTGTGTGTGGGTGTGAGTGAGTATGGGTGCGTGTGTGTGTGTGTGTGTGTGTGTGTGTGCGCGCGCGTGAGTGTGTGTGTGTGTGTGTGTGTGTGCCTCAAGGACAAGGTTCTCCTCTGTGCCGTCAACCAAAACTGCTCCATTAAACGCTTGTGTGACTCAATAAAAATGATTCTTCTGAAGGAAACTGTGCTTGTGCCTGATTACAACATTAGTGCACGGAAAACTTCGGAGAAGATTCTGACGTTTCGTTTTCCCTGCAGATCGGCTACTGGAACGACGCAGACAAACTGGTGCTGATCCAGGACTCCCAGCTGCTTCCAAACGACACTACCGGCATGGAGAACCGCACCGTTATTGTTACCACCATTATGGTAAGAGACCAGCATGTCCTCTCTCTCTCTCTCTCTCTCTCTCTCTCTCTCTCTCTCTCTCTCTCTCTCTCTCTCTCTCTCTCTCCCTCTCTCTCTCTCTCTCTCTCTCTCTCTCTCTCTCTCTCTCTCTCTCTCTCTCTCTCTCTCTCTCTCTCTCTCTCATATACTGAGCAATATTTGCTGTTATCTAATGTTCCTGTGCACTTTAGTGAGGTTTACTCAGGAGGATTTCTTTCTGCTGCACATTATTAATCCTTAAGGTTTTAATAAAAACTGGCCATCAAATAAATGTGTCACAGTCAGATATTAATTATGCTTTCTGGGGGGGGGGGTCCTTGGTGCAGGTAACATCTTTTTTAAATAATTCTTCCGAAAAGTCATTTTCTGTCACATTTTTAAATCATTTTGCTTTTTTCAGTTGTAAAATTACAGTAGACACATTTTTGATGATATAATAAAATAAAATATTTTCTCTCTGACCAAATAAAATTCTATAACACGTCTTATAAAATAAATGTCAAATATTTAAAATTCTTATTAAAATATTTTAAAGGTGTGGAAGACTGAAAAAACCTTTTTAATTATTATTTCTGTTTATAATTGGTCATGCAGGCTGAACATGAAAATAGTCTCCTACATCTATCTCCTTCTGATGGAAAACATTCACCAGCAACTAAAAAAAATGTTGGAAGCATAAATTTATTTTTACAGAGCTGACAATTAAATGAACTAATAAAAAAACAGATAGGAGACAGATTTTTTACAATAATGTCTCCTGCTAATAGGAATATACTTTAATGTGCAGGATGATCCTACACGTTATGACAACTTCAGTATCTTGAAGAAACTGGATTTATTTTTATTTCTCCAATAACTATTTAATAAAACTTTAGCAAATTCCAGAACAAGTTTTTAAGCACTCATATTTCCTCTTTTATTACCAACAAACCTATAAAGTTGTGCAACAATATCGTTGTTGCAGAGAAAATCAGAAATTCTGCAGACAAAAGCCTTTTCTATAGCCTGAATGGCCTTTGGTTGGCATGTGAATGCTCAGATGAGTGACAGCGGCTCTGACTCCAGCCGAGAAGACTGATGTTGAGAGTAGAGGAAGAGAGGAGGTGGGAAAATGGAGAGTCACAGCTCAGCACAATCCTCCCTCTTTTCAGCCCCTGATGAGGAACCCCATTTTAAGAAACTGATCCCAGTTGGACGCAAAGCAGGATATGAAAGTCCTTAATGGCAGAGTGATGGACACAACAGCCCGAGCCAAAATGAGGCCCTAAAGACGCGGGGCGAGAGAAGACCAGCAGCTATCCTAATGGACCGCCTCGTTCTGAAATCCGAGCAAGAAATGGATCCACTCAGAGCCGTAATGGATCCCCTCGGGAGGAAAATGAAATGCATACGAAGGGTTTTTTCCCTCCTTTTTTGAGGATCAGCGACGGACGTCTTATGAGGCTGACGTTTTTTAAAACAAATCTCCCATTTTTTCTGTTCACCTGTGTGTGTGTGTGTGTGTGTGTGTGTGTGTGTGTGTGTGTGTGTGTGTGTTTTCTGCTCCCTATTTAGCTTTAAACGTGTGTTTCTTTCTGTACATTTGATGCATCCTGAAACATGAAGAAGCAGAATTGCTGTTTGCTCTAAATCTGTCACTACCTGCTCTAAAGTACAGTTTATTACGCACTCAGAGGGCTTCCTCAAAGCCTCAACACAGCTTAGGAAGACTAATGCGCCCATAATTATCCCGGTTTGTATCCATCATGTTTCCATTTGGGATGATTTCACAGTTAACAGCTTTGTTCCGTTCCTGCTGTTCGGTGCTGGATCAGCGAGGTCATGAAAGCTATGTTACATTTGGATAATAGACCAAGTTAGAAAATGTCGTCGCTCCAGACAAGTTAGATCAAGATTTATTTAGTTGACTCATTCGCTGCCATTGATGCCTAAAACGTTAATTGTGTTATTTAATGGGGCGGGCTTGGGAACAAGCTCGCGCACGTTGAGAAAACATCACGGCTCTAAAGTTGATCTTCACCTGTGTGTGTCACACGTCACATGATTGTGAAGCAGACAGTCCATTAATTAGGAGGTCGGTTTGGGGCTAGGGGTTGTATCAACTAGTCGACTAGTCGACTTCGCTATAGTGACTTGTCATGCCTTTCATCGACTAGTCGCTGTCACGTGATAATGACCGACAAGATGCAGTCCTCGGAAAAGACAGCAGGTGACGAGACCCTGAGCGTCGGGAGGCGACGCGCTGTGCCAGAGTGTCTGTATCTAACGCCTGCGGTAAAACGGACATTTAACCAAATTGTGACCTTTACCCTCTTCCAATTTAACCTTCCCCTCACCCCCATCCTAACCTTAACCAGCTTGCACATGCAAAGCTCTGATCGTTGACGCGCTCCAGACATCTGCGTCCTGAGCACGGCCACAGTAACATTATCAAATCAGGTATCGCCACCTCAAAAACTTATTTAACACGCGATCGTTCATGTCGGCTCATTTCCTTTTATGTTTTCTGTCTTTTATTCTTTTATTTGTGCCTGATGCGTTTCGCTGCTGTGGAGCGGGGCGCATCACCTGTTTTGTCCTTCGGTGACGTACCGATCACTGATGCGGCCGACGAGCACTCCGCTGTTTTAGCGGTCGGTAGATCTTTTAGAACTGCAGTTCAAAGGTAACTCATAAGGTGAATATATATGAACCCAGGTAGCAGTTTCTCTTTAGGATTGAGAGGAGATGCAGGAAGATAATAAACAGACAGGACAGAAAAATAGTCAAATAAAAACAAGTTAGTTTTTGTACCTGCTGGTTGCAACAAACAGACACCATTGAAGGTAATCAGAAGTGAGGAACAGAAAATGAAATAATTATTTTAATGTTTAGAGCAGCAGGAACTCCGAGAGGCTGCAGGCGCATCAGTGAGTTTGCTGCCGCTGCGTGGGGGGAGGGGGGAGAGGGCTAAAGCAGGGGGAGGGGGAAGATGGCTGAAGCAGAAACTATCGTTGTTAAAAGAAATGTGTTTAACTTTGAAAATGTGGACGCAATTTTAATTGCCAAAAACTCCAGCGAACCAACGCACTTCAGGTGTATGACGTCATCAACGACAAGTCAACGTCGACTCGATTTTCATTACTTGACTGTCGACTTAAAAAAAACTTGTCATGCAGTCCCTATTTGGGACGTCACTATCCTAAAGCGAGGAGCGAACCGGAAAAGCTTCTCACACTGACAACGGATTGTGAAGGAACGGAGAAAGCTGGAAACACTGATTCTTCCTGATGTAAGAAGCGAGTCTACTTTGTTTTGGTAGTTTTGGTGTTGACATCATCATAGACACAACGTTCCGTGACTCTTCAAAAATCAGTAAAAATGCTCTAAAATGGAAATGTTATGGCAGGTAAACTCTGCGTAAACTACTGTGCAAATACAACTTATACCAATAAATAAAAATGTGACTTTTTTTAGCACTTCATGAGATTTACCCAGGCTTTTATCGGATGCGGCGTCTAACTAATAGACTCATTTGAATTGAGACCCAGTAGGCAGTTCCCCCTAGTGCAGAGGTGTCAAACTCCGGTCCTCGAGGGCCGATATCCTGCATATTTTTGTTGTTTCCCTGTTCCAACACAGTTGATTACCTGTGCAGCAGCTCATCAGGCTCTCAAGAAGCCTGTCAATCACCTGCTGAATGAAATTAGGTGCTTTGAAACAGGGAGAACACTAAAACATGTGGGATAGTGGTCCTCGAGGACCGGAGTTTGACACCTGTGCCCTAGTGGATGATGGGGAAACTGCCATGTTTGTCACTTAGCTTCACTTTTGGCAGGCAGAGTTTCCCCCTTGGTTTTCTGGTGCATCGCTTTCTGCATTTCAGGTGCATAGCGGATGCAAATGCATTCCATGAACTGGTCCGACGACTTCCCAAAATCACAAGAGAATTGTAAGATCCCGCATGATTTCACCAGTTTACAGTATAACAATCAAGGAGAAAGATGAATCCAAAAGGTCTGTGGTTAATTTTCTGTTTTTGCCTCAGCCTCTGAGGCATAACAGGTAAAGATGTACTTATTTTTAATAGTTACTCAAATGGAAATCTGCACTTGTCTTTTATTTTAAAATTTGCCAGATGCTGTACACTTTCACTCCGATGTTTAACTTCCTCTCTGGCCTGTTCTGAACTATTTACCTTCATGTGTTTTGGAACACGTCCAAATGGACCTGAGGCATAATTTTAGCATTGCACCATGACAAAACGCTTCCGGAACGCCGCCGAGATCCTCCGGTGCACGCCTGGTGTGAACAAATGTATAGTAGATATTAGCTGCGTTTTGCTTTACTCTGCTTCTGTGTTTGATTTCTTGTCCTGCATGATCTGAACTGCAGAGCTTGATGCGTTCTGGAAGCATAGCATGTGAAAAATAGACCTAGCAGTTAAACTTAGCGGCATGACTCTATGCTCTTGAGACGGGTCCAAGATGTGCCTCTGCCCGCCAGCTGAAAAAAGCTGTTGATTGTTACGGCAACTACTAGCAGAATAATGCCCTTTGCAAATATATATAAATATATATGTACAGGTGCTGGCCAGTAAATTAGAATATCATCAAAAGGTTGAAAATATTTCAGTAATTCCATTCAAAACGTGAAACTTGTACATTATATTCATGCAATGCACACAGACCAATGTATTTCCGATGTTTATTACGTTTAATTTTGATATTTATAGGTGACAACCAATGAAAACATCAAATCTGGTATCTCAGAAAATTAGAATATTCTAAAGGCCAATGAAAAAATGTTTGTTTCTCTAATGTTGGCCAACTGAAAAGAATGAACATGAAAAGAATGTGCATGTATAGCACTCAATACTTAGTCGGGGCTCCTTTTGCCTCAATAACTGCAGTAATGCGGCGTGGCATGGACTCGATCAGTCTGTGGCACTGCTCAGGTGTTATGAGAGCCCAGGTTGCTCTGATAGTCGTCTTCAGCTCCTC